CACTGCATGTGTTCACTGTTGAGGTTTTTGGGTATTTAATGCTGTACATGTAAATTCTCTTTTTTGTATTTAAGAGAGAGCTTCTTATCAATTCTGTCATGTTAATGATTCAGAATACTTTCTGTAAATTGAACTACATCAAACAACCATCATGGTTCACAAACTGAGCAGATTTCCAACAGTTAAAGCAAAAATTTCAAACATGCATTTTCTACCAAACAAACCAGCAAATATGAAAATAGATCATATTCATTCTACGGTCTCACTGTGCTTTAGTAACTGTATCTAAAAAAAGGTGTTTTTTATCATACCTTTTTGTCTAGTTCCTGCAAACATTAAGTGTTTATTGAAGTGAAACTGAATGATTCAAAAATGCAAATATTTTTCTAACTTTACAATAGGTAAACAGCAGAGTATGTTAAATGGCATTCAGTGAGATAATGTTGGTAATGAAAGGGTTAAATTTAGAAGGAACATGCTGGTAGGCTACTTTGATCCGTTTGTCTGCTGAACCTTTCTTCATGTTGTTCAGTCAGAGAGGACACACTTGTGTCCCTGGATCATAGTTATCTGAAACTCAGTGTTTGTGTTGTTGACAGGATGGCTGATCCTGGGTCAGTTTGTCTAAATGTCCAGATCCACGGGTCGAACCTCGCCTGTTTTATTTTCCTTCACCCACAGCTCTCTGTCTTTGGCTGGATCCACACTCTGCAGCAGCTGGTCCACCGGCTCCACCGTCTGGGCACAGAACCCAGGAAAGAAATGACATATAACATTAGCATCTGCTCGATTCATTCAGTCACATTACCTCATTAATGTTACCCACACATGATGTAATTTTCAACTTGGGTTCTTATCCTATTTAGGATACTGTGTTAAAAAAGATAGCTCAGCTATGCTATCTTACAAATCCAGCAGACTTAAAAAAATATATATATGTTCCTAAGTGCAAACTTTCAAGTCCAAACTTTTAAGTGCACACTTTCAAATGAACACTTTCAAGTGCACAATTGAATGAGTATTAGTAAATACTTTTGGATGAACACTAAGTGGTCACTAGTGGAAAGTGCATCCTACAAGAACTCTCTCACAAAGGCATCGGATGGGACTGTCATATTTCTGAACTGTTGAGTTCATGGTTAAAGGAGGGGAAAAAACACTCAAGAGGGTGCAACAAAAAGTTTGATCTTGAATTTTAACTATACTTTTGTGTATCATGTAAAAAAAAAAAAAAAAAACATGAACAGTACAAATTCATTTGAACTCACACTCTGGTTGAACATGTCTGTTTCGTGTCTCAGAGTTGTGTACTGACGTAGATGCTGCTGAATCCACTCGATTCGCTCAACCTCCAGTTTCTCCAACTCCTAAAGGTTATACAGATAGAAGTATTAAAACAGGAAAACAAACTCCTTGACCCTATGAATAAAGACAATTCCTTTTAATATTCAAAACCCCCAAACTAAAAAATGAATCAAAGCTGTAGGAGTTTAAATAAATTGCATTAACCAAGTGAATAGTTAAACCTTATCATTGATTAAATTGATGAAGATAAAATGAATTACAGTCAATCAGTATAAAGGCAAATAAAACAATTATAAAACAATATGAAGACAATTTCCTGTGTAGTCTATAGTTCTCACCATGCTGCTGGTCACCATCTCCTCAAACCACTTGGACTGAGCCCGATTGTACAGATCGATGCAGTGCATCAGGTCGTCTCCTATACAACACACACAGAGAGAACACAAGATATAGGCCAAATGTCAGAGAGAACATGTGCTGATAACACTAATATACGTTTCTTTTGAAATCCTCTCCTTCAGCTCTGCAGTTCTGTGTTTTCTGTTCTGTGATTCACATGGAACACTAACAATAAGTGACCAGCAGGAGGTGCTCTGAAGTCACAGCTCACTAAAGAACCAGTTAAATGAGGCATGAGGCTTCTGTTTAAAGAAGACACATTATACACCCTTTTCTACCTTTTCAAACAGTCTCCTGTGGTCTAAATGAAACATCTGTGCTGTGCTTTGGTTAAAATATAACATGAATCAAGCACCAGAGGAGGTTTGTGACCCTGTATGAACCAGCTCTCTCAGAATGCTCCGTTTAGGTGTGTGTGTCTCTTTAAATGCAAAATATGAGTTTTCCAGGTAAACTAGGTAAATACTATCAGATTGTTCATTTAAGTTCTTTATCTTTCAGTTATGTCTGCTTTCTCAGTGTTTTCCTTAAATTCAAGTGTTAATTGAGTGAAGTAAATATTCAAAAAGGGTAAAGAAAATGTTTAAATACTGGGCTCAGTAATCTGCATGGCAGTGGATGTTTGACCTGCTTGTGTGGATTTTCGCCGTGCTTTCTTTATGTCCTCCTCCGTCTTGTTGCTCAGTCTGATCTCCAACTGCTGAGTCTTCACCTCCAGGTCCTTCTGCCTGTCTGCCAGAGCTCTACGAGCCTACACACACACAGAGAGAGAGAGAGAGAGAGAGAGAGAGAGAGAGAGAGAGAGAGAGAGAGAGAGAGAGAAAGAGAGAGTAATCCTCAGATTAAGTGTACCTACATGTATTACAGGGGCTGCTGTCACCTTAAATACGTCTTTAATCCTTTTTATTCACTTTCCCTCTTTCTGACTCTGTGTGTGTGTGTGTGTGTGTGTGTGTGTGTGTGTGTGTGTGTGTGTGTGTGTGTGTGTGTGTGTGTGTGTGTGTCTGAGAATAATGTATGAGATAGAGATTGGGAGGATAATTCATCAGAAAGTAGTTGAATAACTTTCTGTTATTCAGGCTCAGTACCTTCTCCACACCCCCAAAGCGGGTTGTCAGCTGCTTCCTGAGGTCGGACAGGTTATGCTCGTACTTCTTCAGGTCTTTCTTAAAACCGTCTCCTCTGAAAGTCAGCAGAGGTTTCTCCACCTCAGAGTGAAGCTGAGGGTCAGGATTCATCAGATAATCGGTTATACGCTCACTTTTATGACAACAACAATGACAGAAGAAGATAATGAAGATAATCAATCTTGTTATTGAAACAAGGATTTAAGTTTCCGGGTAGGTTTTACCTTGTTGGAGAACTTCAGGTGAACTTCAGCTTCATCGTGAAGACTCTTCTTCAGCTGAGTCCACGCTTCTCCCAGAGTCCTGAAAAAAAAAACATAAATTAATCCTTTAACTAATTCATCGTTACATCCACTCAACATTTTATTGTATCATAGGTAAAAGTGCTCAAGAAAACAGCTAATGTTATGGACTAACCAAGTGTAGAAAAACAAACTGCAAGTAAAATAAAAAACGTTTTTTAATACAAACATCTCATCAGCTCTTTTGTGTCCAAACCGAAAATATATAATTTAAATTCTATAGTGGATTTTCTGAGCTGTAGAGAAAATACAACACTTTTATGTCTGAGACTGATGTTTTCTGTGACACAATTTCATTCAAGCATCAGACACAAAGCATGGTGGTGGAAAAATATCTATTTTTACACTCTCATCTCTGTGCACTGCTTTTAATATATAAAAAAAAAACGATTAAGGTGTTTTTACTCACCCCTCCTCCTGAGCTGCCAGTGGGCTCAAAGAGAGCTTCGACAGGTTTTTAGCGTATTCTTCTTCAATCTTTATCCTGAAACACAGACGGGAAGAGTTTGAATCCTGAAGCTGCCCGGTTCAGCACATAAAGTCCTGCAGGAAAGTCTGCTTTAAAAAGAATCTGGAAACTAGGTTCCAAAGTGTCATCAAAGTTTGAAGTGTCATTAATTATTCAGAAAATTCTGATTGATATTTCTATTTATAACCGCTATAAAAAACCTGGGTCATAAAACCACCAATTTTCTGTTTACTCCAATTCTATTTACTGTGTAGGCGTGACTAATCATGTTTTGATTGACATCAACCTAGCCCCTCCCATAGTGCAAACAGGCCATGTCACCATCAGTGTAGCCTTTGGCATTAAGTTTGTGAGTCATCTGAGTCAGACTCAAAGCAGGACAAAGAAGAAGATTCAATAACACCACTTATGTAATGCTGTTAGTCATATTATAGTTAGCTATTTGTTGTAAAATATAAAAATGTAATGCTAAATGATGCTCTGTAATGTGAGCTCGTTCGAATTTGTTACAAAGCTAAAATAATTTATTCAGATATATTCAGAAATCAAAAGCAACAAGTGCCCTTTGACCTGTCCATGAGGATAGGTTTGCAAGGAAAATGTTAAGTCCATAAAATCCTGATGATGGTCACATCGCCATGTCTCCTAACAGTATGTTTAATAACAAAACCAGCAACGTGTTCATCCCCAAATCAACATGAAGATTTTCACCAGAAAATCAGGGGCTATGTTCACTGTATAGCCTTAATACATAAAAAAAAGTATGACAATAACAGTTCAAATTTATGATGGGTGTTAAAGGTGTGATTTTACTTAAAGATGTGATTTTTTATTTTAACCAGAGTAGGCCATTTTACCTCTCATGGATGAACTCCGACATCTCCTTCTGCATCTGTTTCCCCTTCAGCTGCTTCTGAACAAGAACCTCAAATCCCACAACGGAGGTCGCCCCCTGAGGGTCCTTTTTATCCGTCTGAGAAAGAGGAGGGTGACATCATACAGCTGAGAGCCAATCAACAGTCTGCTAACACAGTGAGTCCAGATCATTTATCACCATTTATAAGATTAATCAAATGAATATGATAGACTATATATAGAAGGAATATCATTCATAACCGAGACCAAATGTGGAAGACTGATATCACTCATACAGATTTCATGAGAAGAGGATACAGCCTCTTGCTTTCAAAGTGAAACCAATGCTGCTGGGTCTTAAACCTGCATTCTTCCAAAGCTCCGCAGGGAACAGCAATGCCGGTTGTAAAAACTAGTGTAGAAGTCTCTGACAAAATGAGCGCACTTCTCAGTTTATTCATGACCTCGCTAAACTTTTTCCTACTGAGTTCATGGTTTTAATGTCAGTCGTTCAACGTATTTAGTGTGCTGACTTGTTGCAGTCGTGCACCTGAAATATCGTTTATGGTTGAGTGTGCTCCTTTTTTTTTTTGCTGTTTTTAATCTCAGTCCTGTGTTGATATAAATTGCCACCATAAAGTCAGTCTGGATTGAATGTATCATCTCTCTTGTCCACATATGGTCACTACTGGTCTTAAAATTGTAATAATAATAATAATAATAATAATAGTATTTGACCAGGATGAAAGTGATGGACAAACTAACATGCGCTGTAGTGAAACACAATTCTTCTTGTTAGTATTATTAAGTGTGAAAAGCAGAACTGACCCAGAAGTAATCACAGTAACTCCAATCATTTGGTTTAAGCAGCTGTTGCTCTGGACCATCATCAGGAAGAGGAAAGGTCACCCCGTTTATCTGTATAGACACACAAAGAAGAATCACAGGGAAACTGTTATGAACGTAAGAGCCGTGGATTCAAACAGTAAATGAAGTGACGTCTTTAAGAGCGCTAAAAGGACTGATTTTTATTCAGAGAAGTCAAATAGGGTCTGCATCATGAAGAAACATGAACATGTGCTCACCATCCAGAAGGCGAGAGAGAGAGAGAGATGTGTGTCTCTGTGTGTGTGTGTGTGTGGGGGGGGGGGGGGGGCTGTGTCATCTTATAAACAACCTTTCGTTCTGTTTCCCTTACGCTGGACACACAAACATCACACACACACATGAGAACATATGTTCACTCAGTTTGAACTCCTCAGAGGCCTCACTTCCCCTCAGGCTGTAATTATGTAATATCACCATCTGTGTCACTTTGTCTTCATTTTTTTCCTCTCTTATAGTACTCACACTAAAAACTTTAAAAAGAAAAAAATAAGGAGTTTAATGCTTTGACCTAAAATGAATCAAAAACAACATGGACACAGAAGAAGAAGAGTGTACACCTGTCCGTGCAGGGCAGATACCCGTTCAGGTGTGTCTGATAGAAACTGATCAGTGATCAGTTTATCAATCGATCGGATCATCATCTTACTGAGAGTGTTACACAAACACACATTCACACACATAAAAAACAAATGAACACACACTGACCTCGTCATCATCTTTATATACAAGACTTGACCCAAACACACAAAAACACAGAAGCATGCATGATGAGTAACTCTGTTATATAATCACCAACATGCACACAGCATGAACACACACACACACACACACACACACACACACACACACACACACACACACACACACACACACACACACACACACACACACTAATGTGGCATCTCTCCAAAATAACAAACACAGAATGAAAACATGAAAATGTGATCTCTGCTGGGATTTATGTGAGCAGTGTCTTCCTCTGTGTGAAATTTCTGTCTCACAGGTCACTTATCATGGACACCAGATTTTCCACAACACCCCTCACTGAATGTTAATAATCAGATCACGGATTCCTTTCAGTGTGCACACAGACACACAATCTTAACATGCGCACAGACACACACTCTCAATGTGCGCACAGACACACAATCTTAACATGCGCACAGACACACACTCTCTATGTGCGCACAGACACACACTCTCAATGTGCGCACGGACACACAATCTTAACATGCGCACAGACACACAATCTTAACATGTGCACATACACACACTCTCTATGTGCGCACAGACACACACTCTCTATGTGTGCACAGACACACACTCTCTATGTGTGCACAGACACACACTCTCTATGTGTGCACAGACACACACTCTCTATGTGTGCACAGAAAAGCACAATCACACAGACTATATATAAACCTGTGTGAAGATGTGAGCACACTTGGGATTGTTTGTAGTCACAATGATGATGTTTGTGTGTGTCATTTTATCTGTGATGTTTCAGTTCAATAAAAGAGGGACCATTTGGGACATTTTGTTCCCACTGTGTTTTTTTTTGTTACATACTGATATGACAGTTGTTTCCAGTTGCAGAACAAAATGTTTTAGCACTTATTTATTTGGGTTTATATTTTTTAGCTTTTGCTTAGACACAATAAAATAAATAAATAAACACAGAAGAAGAAGAAGAAGAAGAAGAAATAAGAGGTGTAATGTGAGACAGCAATATTTTACAATCAATCCGTTTGAGTCAAACCTTTCAGAGAGACTGTATGATGCTCTGCTGCTGTTGCTAAGCTACAAATTGCTTTTCACACACACATGCACACAATTTCACGACAATACACTCTCAGTCTTCCTCTGATCCTCTTCCTCCTCTCAGCAACAAACCAAAATGATTCTTTCTTTCCACCTCAAAAGCAGCAACGAGTCACACAAAAACAAATCATAACAATGGTCAATTATTTGTAACTAAACATTAAACAACAGGTGATGACTGTGAAGGTGAGAACAAGGTCACTCGCGCTCCGTGAGTCATGTGACTTCTGTGAGCGTCCATTATAGCCTAACAGTTGTGGGTGTGAGCATCTCCATGACAACGGTTGAGGTTGTGTAACAGGAGAACAAAAAAACAAAACACCTGACGTCTTGTTTGTGTTACAGATTGAATCAGTTACCTGCTTGTGCTTTAAGAAATATTCATAAAATATTAAAGTTCATTCTTTTTTTGGTTTGTATTTATATAGAATGAAATCTATGTGATTTGTTAATCAGAGCTTGTTCAGAAAACAAAATGCATCCTCCACCTGAGATTCACCTGAAAGCCCTGAACATTAAAACACGATGAGAGAGCCGACCATCTCTGCAGAACAAAACCAGGTGATTCTCTTATTTTGTCGTCAGTCCCCCCATCTGTTTCTATCATTGATCAGTGCTACTGCTGTCGTCACCATGGAAACTGGACCTGCTGCATCCTCACTGCTCTGCTGTTGCATGAAGGTTTAACATCAGCACCCCCCCAATACACACACACACACACACACACACACACACACACACACAAAAACATACACGTCAGCTTCAGCCCCCCCCCATACTTTTCTTCTTCTTCATCATCATCTTTATAAAAACATTACATAACCCAAGCTTCAGTCTGAATCTGAAGATGAAGATTCTCTCTTCCCCTCTTACTCTCTGCAGCGCAAACACCATTCTGAACGGACAGTACAAAGCGTTCGATTCCCAAAAAGGCCGTTGTGACCCGCTTTGCCCTGCTACTCGCTCTGGCGCTATGAGGAAGAGGAGGAAGAACGGAGCCACAAACACTGCCAAACAATCAGTGCCTCCCCCAATCTCTCTCAGACACACACACACACACACACACCCCCACACACTAACACACACACACACACACACACACACACAGCCCAGAATGCATCAGGGCTGAAGACGACAGAGACAAGAACTTCTAATGAGGAGTAAACACAGAGACACCAGAGAGGAAGAAGTGGAGGATGAAGATGAAGAGGATGGAGCTCCAGTTACAACTTTCGATAGAAAATTGAGAAAAAGAAGAAGAGAAAGGGAAAGAAGGCGAGGGAGGGGGTGAAGAGGAAAGGAGGAAAAGAGGAAGGTCCTGTGTGTGCTTCAGAAACAGAAAGGTGAAGTGGTGAATAATGAGGATGATGAAGCTGAAGATGAAGGTCCTGGCTTTACTCACAGTGGTCTTGGTCTCCTTCACCTCATTGGTTGTCCTCTTGGCTGGGGAGACAGGGAGCTGGGGGGCTAGACAAGACGGGTCGTCAAAACTCTCCTCTGTGTCAAAACTGGCCTCCATCTTCATCATCCTCTTCCTCCTCCTGCTGCTTCCTCTCTCCTCCTCCTCTCCTCTGCACTGAACCTCGATTGCTCCTCCTCCTCACTCTTTCCCTCTCTCTCTTTCTGTCTCTCTCAGGCTGTGCAGCGGGTGGAGGAGTCGTGTGCAGGGGGAGGAGGTGTGAGGAAAAAGGAGGGGGTGTTGGTGTGATGAAGTGTATCCTCGGGTGAAGCTGCTGTCAGAGGAGGTTTTCAGGATGCTGCCAGTAATGGGATCTGCATCCCTCCCTTTCAACATGCACCTTCCTCACCTCCTTCTACCTGTGTCTGTGCACACACAGAGGGGGGGGAGAGGGGGGGTGGCTGTGTGGTGTTGGAATGATGGATGGAGGTGTTGGAGCAGAAGGACTTGATGAAAAGAAAACAAAAGGAAGAAGAATAACAGAGGGAGCGTAAAAAAGGTGTGGGAGGATTGTAATGCTTCTTGCCCTGCCTCCCACCCCGGAGAAGGCATACGGTAAGGGGGGAGAAAAGAGGAGGAGGCTGGTTTGATGTAAACGGTTGAATAATGATCTCTACAGACCGCTTATGATCAAAACTGGAGGAGGAGAAAAAGGGAGCCAATCAGGGCGCAGCCTTTGTGTGTGTGTGTGTGTGTGTGTGTGTGTGTGTGCATATATATGTGTGTGTTAAGACTGAGCTTCATGCAGACAAAACACAGTCATCATTTCACTGTTTTTGTATTTATCTCTTTTAAAAACAGCTATATCTCCATCAAGCTGACTTTTGTGTGATTTTTTTAAATGGTATTTTGATCTAATTTCCAAACATAAAAGAGTTGTGGTAACGTCTACCTCTAACAGAAGCATTACCATTGTGCTAAAACAAAGGAAAATAAAATTCCCCCAAAACAGCCTGATCTCCTAAAAACTCACTTGAATGTGATATTTTTAATTAAACAGCTTCTCTCTTTTTTAAAAAAAAGAAGTCTAATTTTTTTCAGTTAAGCATTTTATAAAGTCTTCAGATTCTTTGGTTTGGAGAAATTGTATCTCACATCCAAAGGTTCTTTGTCTTTCAGTGACTTATTTTGTCAAGTATGGGGTTCTGGCATAGGCAGATGGAGGAGGTCTTACAACAAAATACAAAAAAGGCAAAAACAAAAGTGAAGAGATGTGACTTAAAGAAATTAAATGTCCATCAAAACATATACTTGCAAAAAGAGACCGCTCTCTCCAATGTTTTAAATTTGGACTGCAGTACCAATTTTAAACACTATGTGTCAGAGTTACATATTGCTCCTTTAAACACATGGATGGTGCAACAAGCTTAATGTTTCTTCCTTGTCTGTGACTCATCAGCTGTCTGCTCACAGTGCATCAAACACACACACACACACACACACACACACACACACACACACGCCTGCAGGAACAGGAGGGGACCACAAAAATAACGAGGACCGTCACTTACGCCACAGGGAGGGTTGGAAAAAATGTGGCCTTTGACCTCTGATGACTTCAGTTTGTGTTATTAAATCAGCAGCAGCAGGTCTGCACACATGACTAACAGAGAGTCACGTAAATATTAAGAAATTATTGAATAACTGAAGAAATGTGTTTTTTTTAAATGGAGCTTTTAAATGAAAACAGATTTCCAGGTTTCACAAATCCTATATTGGTACAAATCTGGAGTAGTTTAAAGCTGAAAAAGAAGAGATCAGGAAGATATTTAAAGTCAGGGAAATGTTTCACGTCAGGCTAGTTTTAATCTTTGGAGTTAATTTTACAATGACAATAACTTTTATATTTAGAATCCTTCAAACTGTGTCTCTTTATTTCTATTTATGTCGTCTGTGTCTGTCCCTCTCTTTTCAGGATGATTCATCTATGCGGGAAGGGTTTCTTCATCACAATGACTTTCTCTGTAAGGAGTTTGTCTTCCAGCTTATTTGTTTAAATCATGCTGATTTCTATATTCAGGCTAATTTCATAACACAAGTGACTTTTATCTCTCCAGGCTGCTTTTCATTATCATGATTAGTCATCTCAAAATTATCTTTTATAATCAGAATGAATATTTCAGCAGGGTGATTTTCCTCTTCAGAAGAACTGTAATAATCAGGACTATTTTAATAACCAGGAAGATCTGTCTCTTCAGCCAGTTTTCTTTTATTTGACTTTGACTGTCAGGTCAGCAGTTGTTGTGTTTGAATTCTTGCTTTATAATTGATCAGCTGATATGTTTGTAGACCATCTGTAGAGATCAGAGTCTGAAGAACTGATGTAGACTTCAGACTCATCAGGTCATCATGTGCAGGAAACTTTAGATTTCAGGCTGATTGGTTTAAAATGTTGCTTCCTTTGTTCCATCACTCTGCCCTCAGATTTATAACTGGTGTATGAGAAGGACTGTTGGACATTTCTTGAAGAGATACTCAAGCTGCATTGGTTTTTATATGTTTGCAAGGCCCTTATTTGAAAACTTCCACCTTACATCACAGACCTGTCAGAGTGGATTTCTGGTACCTAGGATAGGATAGGATAGTACTTTATTGATCCCCAGAGGGGAAATTCGGGCATTACAGCAGCACAGACAAGAAAGCTCAAATACACATTAAACAGAATAGATAAGATAAATAAAAATAAAAATAAAAACAGGGGGTATATACAGTACAAAATGAATGATGAAGTTAACTGGGGGGAATTGAGAATTGAAACAGTATTTGAAGAGAATGACAAGTTAAAGTGACAAGTGATGATTACAGTGACTTGGTATGATAAATAAACAGCAGCAAGTAATGTAAACAGCAGAGAAGAGAGGCAGTGTTGTACCACAGTAGTGCAGAGTGCAGTTATATAATATAATGTAGTATAATACAATATAATATAATATAATATAATGTAGTCACCTACATGACTCGTTCTTCTGATTGTCTCTTCTTAAAGTCCCTCGAGCTTTTACTGAACTCAGTAAAACTGCATTTTTTTTTGACACCCCCATGTCATGGAATACCCTCCAGCAAATTCTAAAGATTGGAGTTCTTTGCTCATTTGCAGACTTTAGGACTTTGATTTTTTTTTAATTGTAAGTGTTATAATTAATCTCAGTGGGTTTTGTTGTTGATTTTAAGTGTTTGTTGTTGTTGTTCTGGCTTGTTTTACTGTGCTTGTAACCTCGACGGCATAGAAAATGAGGGAAACCTCCATGTCCTTTCAAGAATAATTAAAGGTTTGATTGATTGATTGATTCTAAATGCGTCATATATACTTTTTATGTGTGCATTTGTTTCTGTATCTCTGTTACAATGTGATAATTACAATCCAGCTTGACTCAATAAAGTGAATTCCTAATTTTCTGCACATTTTATGTAAATACTGTAAAAAAGACTGAAGGGAACAAATGTACTTCATTTCTTTATTTTTCTTCAGATATCAGTCCAACAAGGAAACCTTAAACAGTCAACCTGCTGCATCTTCAAGAGATTCATTTGAACACATTAAAAATAAATGTCGCCTCCTTCACTTAATAGAAGTTGAATAAAAGTGTTATTTTTGGCAATAATAAGTTGTTGTTGTTTTTTTTTTTGCTAGTTTGGCCCCACCTCTTGGTTGCAGACTGAAATATCTCAACAACTGTGAATTCAGTGTTAACCGTTTATTAGCAGGATATAGCATGCTAAACCACATACACACATCATAGCTGCTTTAGTATTGGCAATGTGACATTGTTTACATGTGATGTTATCATTTAGCTCTGCATAAACGAAAACACCTAGGCAGACAATGCAAATGTAATATGTGGTAAAATCGTTAAATCTTCATCTGCTTCATGAACAAAAAAGAGATATCTGCAAACATTTTTTTTTCTGCTTGTTTTGTTTTTTTATTTAATACTTGAAGGAAGACAAACAAAAGGATAAAAGTCATTTAGGGTAACTCTGTAATTGATCCTAAAACAGTAGAGACAGAAATATAACTTGAAAAGCCTCAGATCAGGACTTTGTCTCATCAGCTCATTTGGTCATTTAAATACACATTATTATTAATCAGAACACTAGAACAACTGTTAAATTAAAGGAAACTTAAAAAGGTTCACCTGGAATGTCACTGTGGTGCTTCAAATTAAAACATGAGCCTAAATATCACAGTTCATAACTCTGTCGGTTTGCTCAGTTGAGTCACTGCTCTCCTCTTGTCTCTGTAGACATCATAAGCAGTGAACGTAACCAATATGAGGACATTTGTTTGTGGTGTTAAGGCCGTTGCCATTCCTTTTTTGGAATCAGAGGTGACCATATTTGCATAATATTCTTATTTACAATCAATGTTTTCTTCTAGTTAAGAGAGGAGAATAACTGTGGTAAAAAAGATTTTTAAAACAACAACAAAAGAAAAAACAAAGAAGGACCTAAGGTAAGGCTCAGCCGAGGAAGGTTGAGATGAAGACGCTGGTGTCCAAGTTGAGAGTGGCGTGCCACCAGCGGTCAGGGAAATACAGAACCTGACGGGAAAACGTATTCTGTTAGTAAATTAAGGAGGATTTATAAAACTTTTCAACCTTCAAATAGTAGTTTCAGAGATCGATTTAATAGGGAGACGATGGCATCTCTGCCATCTGCCCTTATCGGTTGAGTTATATTAATTTTTAAATTCTTATAATGTGTTGCTGTGCAATAGTAAATAAAATTAGCGGTGAACTTCACTATAAAATGCCCTTCATGCAGACCTTAATCACTAATACAAAGTTGAATATTGTCTTTGATATGAAGAAGAGTTTGTTTTACAGGCTCATCACTGAATCTTTTATCAAGTCAGAAAATATTGATCCTGATCTAAAGATGTTGTAAACAAACTGAACCATGATCTGTGTTCTTACCTCTCCAGGCCTGATGGTGCACTCCAGTGGGGCCTCCACCTCGGGCAGATTAGGGTAGGTCTCCATCAACCAGGACAGAGTGGTCCGGTTCGGATGGAAATGAGGCTCCTGGTCTGGTGGGTAGAGGAACCAGCGCTGTGCAATCACAGCTGAATCAGTCACTTAAAATATATGATGCTCTGACATTCATCAGTATTATTTTGTCAGGTTAAATGCATGCATGTTGTTAGCTTTTTCACCTTTCTTCCATAGATGACCTCAGAGTAACCAGGACCATGCCAGTGAAAGGGGACTCCTGTCCCTGGACCTGCAGACAAAAAGAATGGATGTGATGGTCACTGCTGCTGTTTGAGTTTCTCCAGTTAGTAAATATAATTTACATATTTGAGACAACATAAAGGTCAAAGAAACAAATCAACATTAAAAATTCACAACATGAAAACTAAAGTAGAGGTGGGCGATATGGGAAAAATATCATATCACAATTTTTTTGGGGGTAAAATCACGATTTTTTTCATACTGATCTTTAGACATATTTGTTAGTTACTGACCAGTTCAACTAAACTTATTTCCCTGTATAATGTTTTTAAATGCACAAAAACTGCGCTGACAAGTTTAGTCTATTTAAAAAAACATCTTTGTAGGAGGTCTGGAGGTCTCTCACCCAGAACATTTTAGCAACAGAAATGTCTTTCCCTCAATTCGATCAATATTTATGCACAAGTTGAAGGTTTTCCTCACCACTTTGAAATTATGATTTAGTTATGTGTCCTCGTTTCATGTTCATCAGGAACATTTTCACGCAGTGATGCATTCATTTAAAAACATGTAGACTTCAAGTTCTTGTGTTTCTGTTCTATTTTAGCCCTGCAGAGTTCCTACAGCTGAAGCCTCATACAGGCTCTGCAGCCTTTTTTGTTGTTTTTATGACATCACTGGACTAACTTTAGTTTAGTTTATATATAATCAAACATAATACAGAATGTGTTCATTCTGTGACACATGATCAAAGTAAGTTTTACTGACAGAAGAGTTTAATTCATAGAGGGGGCGGGACATCGTTGATTGACAGACAGACAGTCACCATGGTTACTCACTCTCACCTGTCTGCTGCTTTGTAACGTCATTTAGTGTAATCCCTATAAATTCAGTTATCACAACAGGTGATAGTAACTTTTCAAGTTTGCGGCTCAGTTGGTAGAGTCGTCGCCTCTCAACCGGAAGGTCAAGGGTTCAATCCCCAGCTAAGCAACAAGTCTGATGTGCAAGACACTTACACCTGCATTGCTCCCGCTGCTTCGTGGCAGTGAATGGATAAGTGTTGTACTTACTCTCTGATGTATTGGATAAAAGCGTCTGCTAAGTGAATTGTAGAATTAAAAACTGAGAGAGAGCAGGAAACACTGACAGCAGCATTTTAAACACCGGGGTTATATCGCTCATCACTGACTCTCTGCAGACTATGAACGTCTGTCCGGCTCGTTAAATGGTTTCTTGTGTCGCTATCTGAGATGTAAATTTAACTGTGCAAACTATGCAAATAAGTTAACTGTTGCTCACGCCGTGTTGGTTTGGAAAAATATCAGAACAGTCGTATATAACCGGGATGGAGTTGTTTTTGCGGAATTTACTTTTAAGTTTCGTTTTCGTTTTCACAGCTGCGGAGCAAAAAAGGAGGGGTAGGGAGACGTGTCTGTGTCAGAGCATAAACTGCAGCATGATAGAATAAACACATTAGCCCGGTTCTACGATCTCTCTGCTTTTGCAGATCGTCAGCAAGTTAATATCCTTCACGATCTAAGATCGTTATATCGCCCAGCACTACACTAAAGGTTTTTTGTTTTTTTTCTACTGATGGTGACTGACAACATTACAAGAAGGGTTGAGAGAGAGATATGTTGAACTAGATAAAGAGCAACATTTGTTTTTAACCCTTTTCCCGCTGCTTTCAAAGTGTGTCATGCCTCCCCTGGGGGGCGCCAGAGGACATGGCGAGATGGAAAAAAACAACAGATAAAATAAGTGTAAACATATGGTTCTCTCACTTCTGCAATTTGTTTTCAAAGAATGGATCCATCTTTAGTAGTGGAGTGAGCAAAAAAAACAAAGTAAGTATGAATTTAAGTCGTCAGTACCACATCTCTCCAAAAAGCCTAAAAAATTATCATCCCCCTCACTTCAACTTACCTGAGTGGGTGCAGAGTTTTATAGAGATTTTTAAAAAGTAGGGTGGAGAGTTGCTGGTCTACTGCCACTTAATTCTTTACGTTGTTTCTTTTGTTATAACATGTAACATAAACACAGAAGTATCTTGGAGCTGCTATCTTACTATAGCTGCAGATTCTCAGTCTGGTTTTAAATCTGCAGATTAATAACTGACCTGCAATCCCGAAGCTGTATGCTCCGCTGGTGTGAGGTAAGACGTACGGCGGAGACTTGTAGTAATCAAACAAACTCTGCCACTCGGTGAAGTTGTTGTCTCCAAAAAAATACAGCGTGTCTGTAGATGGGAGAGACAAACCCACAAGTCTAAGGTCAACTGGAAAAACGTACATTTTATGATTCCAATACATCATTTACTTTTTAGAGTGGAGCTTATTAGGATATTATGTTTAAGCTTTTTAGGTCGGGTGGAATCAGTTATATCTGAACCAGTTCGCCTGTTTCCATCGCTGCAACACTTGTTGGTTTTCTGTTTGCGTGGCAAACCGAGGAGCGTCCCAAACTGTGGGGTTGCCTTAAAACTGCCTATCTTCTCTGGTCAGAATGAAAACAGACCATTCCAGACCAGAATCTAAAGTTAGAAGGAGCACATACTTGCTGCTGCATTGTTATCAGAGAAGTCAGCACTTCAACAGAACATGCCTCCTTAATGTCGGATGATATAGTAAGGTCACTTTATGACTTCATTCAGTAAATATCTTGCATATTGGTTCCTCAATGTTTGGTTCTGAGCCTGCTAAAAAACACTGTAAAAAAAGGATGGATGGAGTTAGGGAAATCGATGTAACTCACCGCTGCCAAGTGTGTCCACAGATTGAGGTCTTAGAAAAATGTCCACATATTCCTGCAACGGGACGTCCACTGGAACAAAGACATCCCGGTGAGTAATTGAATAAAAGTAAGAATCCAAGCCGGTTAATAAGGTTACATGCAGACTATGACAGCAGAAGAACATGATGGGTGTTAGACATGCATACCTTTCTTGTAAGAGTAAGTGTTAGCTGTGCTGAGCCGCACTCTCCTCTCTCCATATTCCTCTAGTAATCTTGACTTGGAACATAATGTCCTGAATTTCTAAAACAAAGTCATTATAAAGAAAGATTACTGACTGTATGTCTAAAAGTTTTGGGATACTTTTTGTTGTTGCAGCTATTACGAAAACACTCTAATGTGTAAATGCAGCAAGTAATTCAGGAAGAATCCAATCGGCAGCACATGTGGGCAAATTGTACCCTTTATTCGACTCCACATGTGATGTTCTCGATGTGTTCATCATAGTTGGATTTTTACAGATATTACAACTGCAACTACAACATTCATCCACACAGCGTCCTGTTGTGTGCAAGCAGAGCATTATTCAGAAACGTTTGAATACATACTGTGTTATCGGTCAGGCCTCTCAGGATCACTGGTCTGCTGTAGGCATATCTGGGGGAAACAATTGTTCAGCATGTTTAAGATAACACTTCCCTCATAAAGGTTGTATAAAAAGATGATGAAACATCTGACGTTTTGAAAGTGAAGTGAACGCTTCAGTGCCTTAAACCTAAATTCTTTCCAATGGCCATTACGAGGCAACTTCACTAGTTGCAAAAAATAAGTCCAACTACATAGAGGTCTATGAGAAAATGATCCTATTTCAGTTGTTATACTACTTGAGTAAACATATCTCAAACGAGTTTTCAATCACTGTTTTTATAAGTGGTTAGCTGTGTTTTCAAGAGGTACATTTAGTTTAAACTCTGTTTTCTGATAGAAAAAATGAGCATTCCATAAAATATCACAGTTAGTGTGTGACGACCCTCGCTACAGCCAATGGCTACTGCCTACTACAAACTACTATTGGACGCAGTGTGCACTATGTACTGCTTACTGCACTTAACAGTTAGTACGGTATGTACTATGTAGAATGACTGCCAGTCTGCTGTATGCAAGGTCCGGCTAAGCAGGTTTTCTGACCTTGGAATGCATAAGTTAATAATAGCTCAGCTGACAGCAAACACACCTACAGTGTATCATCAACAACTTGAAAGTAAAACTCGGAAAAGTATTAGGTGCCCGATTTGCCGACTTGACGTCAGAATCGTCATCACACGAGGGGCAAAATATGTTTTTTTAATGTTAACATCAATGTTGACATTCCACAAATCTTCTTCGTAGCATCAACGCTGTTTTTTTTGCTTTTGTTACAACATTCAGACTTCACGACCTGAAATCATGTGAGCACACTGAAGTCGGAAGAACAACTTCCCCACTCGGAAACCTCGGACCACCCTGTTTCTGAGTTTCCGAGGAGAAATATCTTTCTGCGGTATCTCTGTGGTTGTTAAAGTCATAGACTGCAGCCCAAACCCAAAAAAACAAGAATGTCGAGTTATTGAAAATTCAGATATCTCTCCTTTAATACACAAAGAGATCAGGGAATCACACTTTGGGTGTGAGGAGGAGGAAGGGTGTTGTAAAAATATTACCACCAAAAAACATACCTTTCAATAAATTGTCGATATGAGAGTAGAGAGCTGTCCAACACGTCGATGTTACAAGGACCTTCATCCTGTAATCTGAAATCTGAGATTACAGACCTGAACAACACAGAGAAAGACGTGAAGATGAGCACAAAGAATTCTGCTATTCAAGATCTGAATAAAGTGCTGCAAAATAATCAAAAACACACACTTTTAGAATCAAGTTAAAAAATCCAGTTGTAGTTCATTTCATAGATTGTATTATTATTATTATTATTATCATTATTAATAATAATATATATTTTTTTTAATTATTATTAGTAATATTAATACTAATAATAAAATATTTTTTTAGAAAAACTATTATTAATAATAATAATAATAATAATAATAATTTAAAAAAAGAAAAACTATTATTATTATTATTATTATTATTATTATTATTATTAATAATAATTATTATTATTATTATTATAATAATAAAATTAACTACTTGAGCATTCATCATAGGCACATGGTCGGTGTCACATGCAGGCTCCTATTATTCCCATCCATTCGTAACTCTTGTTTTTACGTCCCTGTGAGATCTGAACATCTCATGTATGTCTATGTAATGTTTAATAGTGTCGGAATTTTTACATTGAGTAGTTTTAAGGTCCACAGATGAGAACTGGGGATAGTTTGTGCATGTAGTAGCCTACAAAGGGATTTAGCAGCAAAATGATAAACAGTAAATGGTCATCCCTTTTCACACAATAGTCCAATATTTAACAATATTTTTTATATTTTTTATATTTTTCTATATTAATGCATCACCTCACTCGTCATGGATAAGTTTGGTGTTGACACTCACCAGCCGCCTCCGTCGTCTGACAGCCGCTCTGCTTTTAGCGCAATGAAACATAACAAAACAAACTGTGTACAGGTGTTATATACAACATTTTGAAATTCCATTCAAATGAACACTCGCTGCAATTCACATAGAACTAAAAACGAGGTAAAAATCAGGTAAAAACACAGTTCATTTGAAGTAGAACCGTTGTATTTTCCCAGAGCGTGAGCCGTCTTCCCACTTCCTGTAGCTCGTCCAATCAGAAAACAACACACTAGTCTGACCGTGCGCGGCGTTCAGGCTCAATGGGAACTACGAACATCTCCCGTAAAACTGTGCTTAGTAATACATTACTGTAATGGTGCAGGGAGGTGCTTTAGATACTTTATATACATCTTAAGAAAGGTTGTAAAAAATAAAGTACAATTATCTATAGTCCTGCATTAGAAATATAACTTTTAGAAAAAGCAGGTAGGAATAGTTAGAAAAAAAAACTTGCACACCGTCTAACTTATCTCTAACTTAGTTGCAAATAAATGTATTTTTGCAAGTTAGACAGCGTACAGGAGCTTACATAAAGTTTTCCAAGTACTCAAAATTGTGTCTTTGCACACCCCTGATGCTGAACGTCTTGTTACAGCACCTGTGAGTAAAGAACATTTATTCAACACAATACAGTCAAAAGAAATATACAGGCTGAATTTGCATTGTTCAAAAGGTTTCAGCTACTTTAAAACAACAAACAAATAGCAACACAATATAATCCAAATGATCAGCAACTTCAACTACTAGTGTCATGATGAGGTATAAATCATAGATGTTTCTAATATTTGATGTTAAAACTATACAATCAAAAAATGAAAGTTACAAGTTACAAGTATATCACAGTTGCCAGTGTAAATAAATCAGATATTAAGTTAACAGTACAGATGAGTACACGTCTACAGAACATTTCCACTGGTGCTCACATCACATCATCATACACAAAGCAGCTTTTGGTTTTTTACAATTACTTAGATACTCAAACAATTTTAAGCCGGAACACTCATTCGCAAGTAAGTATTGTTACTGTTACATTTTATATACTTCTGCTATACTTCTTCTGCTTTTCAGAATTCATTTTTACTGAAAGTAAGTGTTTAAAGTCTAATAAAAGAGATGCTGGCTTAAGTTTATAAAAAAAAAAAAAGATGACCTTTTTATTATAAAAAATAAAATAAAAAACAACTGACTAATTAATTAAAAAACAGGTCAGCAGAAAAATCAACAATAAAAAGATTCCTGAGTTGCAGCCATATAGCTTTTAGATATAGTTTAACTCTTGTAGACTTTTAGACCTACTGTAAAGGCACTGGCTCCTAAACTGATGATTCCATTAGAATCTAAAATAAACAACTCAACTTTATTTTTAAAGCACAAACAACACTGTAGATCCAAAGCGCTGAACAGCGCAGACAGAGGAGGACACAAGAGTGTCTGACTAAGTAGTCTCATGGCATTGAGTGCAGAATCACATATATATATGTATATGTATGTGATATATATATATATATATATATATATCACATATAATCTCATATATGATATAATAATCATTATTTAGTTAATATGTGCAAATCTTTTTTTTTGACAACCTCAATGTGCAGCCTCACACACCCCCGCCCCCTTCTGTCAGAGATGATTGGTGCCTAAAGGGAATGGCACTCTCCATGATATGTTACTCGTTATTAACAATTCTATGAAAGGACTAAGATAGAGAAGAAAGCAGGTAAGATGGAGAGCAGCAGAGGGGCCGAGAAGGAAATCAGATGAGCTGTTCCAGAAGTGGATGAACTGTTCCCAGAGTCTGCGCTGAAGGTGACAAAGCCTGGCTCGCCACTGCCACTGACATGCCCTTTGATCCAGTCCTCAAACGAAGACACCCGGGCATAGACTCCAGGGAAGCTGGCTAAAGCACAGCCTCTTCCAAAACTCACTACTCCAGCCTCGACCCACATAGAACCACTTTGACACACCAGTGGGCCACCTGAATCCCCCTGCAAGAGGTTACACATGTTGATTAAAACACAAGAAAACAGATTGAGAAAGTCAAACACACTTTTTTTGTAAAAAATAATTCAATAAAAGTCCAGATAAGTTTTGCTGATTCATCAAACAAAAAAGAGTGAGGAAATCGTTCTAAACAAAAGTCCAAAAGATGATGATTGACGATCATGATGACGACGACCGCAAACAGAAAATATTCCTGCCACCACACAACTGAAATTCTAAGTTAAGGTAAAACCACGCTCACTGCAAAATACTGGAAATTATATCAAACCCATTTAAGGTGTGAAACATAACAAATGATGAATAGAGGTATAATACACATTATGGCTCCTACATGTTTATTCCTATGGTTTATTCAAACATTTATCTTACGTCACTGTTTTCTCTACCACACCTATAGAGCGACCAACAGGATGCTTATTCAGTTCACATAGCAGCTACCAGTGTCATAACTTTATTTATATATAGCATGCATTTGACCTTTAAGTATAATCACTTGATTACATTCTTGGACTGACAACATTTTCAATGCAGGAGGATGCTGGCAGGTGATTTAGGGTGATGTGGGGAGTCTTTTACTGACAGACTCACCTGACAGGAGTCCTTTCCTCCCTCCTCCAGTCCGGCACAGATCATGTTGCTGGTGATTGACGTGTAGGACTGGCTACACTGAGTGTTGGACACGATGGGAACGCTAACCTCCTGAAGTGTCTGAGGGAAACCAAGGGGAACTGCAAAAGAGAAAACATTTGTTTGGTTTAAATTTAGTTGTTTGATGAAGACTAAAGACTAAACAAAACATTTCTAAGGTGTTTTTGAAGATTTTTTTCTACACCAGGTTTGAGCTGAGAGCCACTGACAGTAGGTCGGATAGTTGTAAGAGACACTGTTCGTTTCATATATTAGGCTGGTATGCTGTGCCATTTTGTGGCATATTCTGGTTGGTTGTTTAAACTTGTCTTAACAGGTTTCCTATAGTTTGGTCCTACATTTCTACTTTTATGCAGACAGTCTTTAATGTCTTGAATATCTCCGTGACAGCTTGAACTACACGTTTCAGTGTGTAAGTACTCATTCTTGTTATTTTCTAATGGAGTTTGGATTGATCATTTGTACTGTAGCATCAGGATGTCAGGAAGGCATCGTCTTTGGGTCCTTATTGTCTTTACATTGACTTGGTAGGAATCCTCCCAACCAACAAAAAAAACACTTTGTTTTGGGTCTGAACAGTCATTTTTGGAAGGTGGATATGTTCAAGAACCACAGTTTAAAAAATGGGAAGTATTTGTACTTGTACTAGAGTTTTTAAATGTTACATTACTTTATTTTTCCACTCAACAACATTTTGGAAATATTGTATTTTTTTTACTTCACTAAGTTTTACCAGCTGTACATATCAAGGAAGTAAGTAAATAAAGGTTTACATTCCGATGATATATTACAAATTGAACGACCCCAGAGTACGTATAATAGTACAATGAGCTTCCCTTTTACCAGCTGGAACACTGAAGTGTTGAACACATAAATGCATCAGTCCAATAAGATATATTATACGATAAGGTGAGGTCTTTCACTTGAGTTCTTCAAGTTTCTGTTGATAAGAAAAATAATTGTGTACTTTCACTGTAGTTAGTGTATACAGGCCCTTTGCTAATTAAAAAGTATTTCTAGAGGTGCTATTGCTACTATGATAAACGACCCCTATCAAACTAACATACACATACATTAAACTCAAAGAACTCGCAGGTGCTTTTAAATTTCACTGGCTTTTAATGGTGTCAACTACTTTACTTCTGTTAGGCCTCTGGCTGTTGCTGTGTTTTGGTGAAATTGTGTGGAAAGCTCAACATTGAACACCAAACATTTCATTCAAATGATTAACTGTTACTAATAACTGCAAAAACAATGAATAAATCTTCACCGTCAGTTTGGATGGTTCCCCATCCGGTAACCCAACAAGTTGTTCCGGCATTGAACACGCTGTCGCTCGCTGCCAGGCACACAGGTTTGATGTAATCTGTGAATGTCACCTCTGTTGAGAGCTCAAGCAGAGACATGTCGCTGTCGTTCGGGGAGACATCGTAGTCCGGGTGGTTGATGATCTGGATCACATTACGGGACACTTCGTTGAAGTTCAGAAACTGTTGGGTGTGACGTCCGAGGTACACCACGAGGCTAAATGTGCTTGTGCTGAGAAGACAGTAGATGAAATGCTGTGGCTGTTAGTGATGCTTAAATAGCTAAAGTAAAATAAACATTTACCAATGCCCGTTTTCTTACAGGTTGACTGGAGTTCATAGTTTTGTTTCCTTAAAAATGTTTTTGTTTTTTGTTTTTTGCACTTGAATTGTTAAAGTCACTCTACCTTCAGTACTTTATGAGTCTGCCGTTGTGAAAACATGTCATATTCAAATTGTATTTTTTTATTTCTATAAAGTAATTTCTCTGGTTGTTTCATCTGTTTCTTTTGTTTACTTGGTTTTTAATCACAGCCTTTTATTCTACAATGTATTGTGTTTTCTTAGCAGCCAACCCATTGTTCTTGTGTATTTAATGGTATGGTGTTTAAATATTACCAACTGCATAACAAGATGAACTATGACTTGCAGTTTTTGTGCCACACCTTCACTGCATTATCCTCAGTTCAGTGTGTTTAGACAGGTGAGGAGCTGAGTCATGTGAAAGTGTCAGAGCTCACCTTGAGAAACAGTGAGCTGCACTCAGCACCCATTTCGAGTTGATCAGTGAACCTCCACAGAAGTGACTACCTCTTCTGTGCAGACTGACCTGCCAAGGCCACGCTCCTGCGGCAGCATTTTCACCTCCAACGATCCTGGTGTTTAACGGAGCAATGCCACAAACTGCAAGAAGAAAAATATTCAAATGTGATAATCTTACTCCGTGTCTCATAGTTCTCACATTATTAAGCCTCAAGGATGTCTTTCAAAGTGTTAAGTGTATGATCTGTGGAAGACATTTTAGCACTGTTGTCAAGAAATACTGTTTTAGATTATCTGAAGTACTTGTTAAGATACCCCTTTGTTTTTGTTTTAAGGTTCTCTTTAGCATGTCTGTCTTGGTACCCTTAAGTCTTTTTAAGGTACCTGGAGCATATACTTAGACATACACTTAAGCATTTGTTTCGAGGTACCCTGGATTGTATATTTTAATCCTTTAATCTATAAATATATATATGTGCGTGTGTGTGTGTGTAAGTGTGAGTGGACAAATAAAGATTAATTGATTGTGAACATTTACCATTCTGTAGGGTTAGATACCAAAACTACATGGTTAAGTTAAGGAAGAACAATGTTTACAATGACACATACTTCACTACTCTGTCTTGGTGATATTTCTTCTTCTTTATGGAGAAAAGGTTTAAAATGTTGACAATATTTGACGTCTGAATTTTAAAGTTTTTATTTCTGTTGAAGCAATTGGAAGAAATCTGCTTGGACGTTCTGCACTGGTGTAAGCACGCCTGCTGTGCTGATTCACCCTCATTAGAGTATTTACATCTGAACCAAATGGTGGAAAATTCAAATGACTTTGTGGAGAAATCATTTCACTGTCACCTTGACACTTTTAAGCAGCTTAAAGCAGCTTTAGGATATTTAGACTAAAAAAACACCATCATTTTCAAAGGTTTAGGGATCAATTCTGAAACCTGTTGGAAATCTTTATTTCTTCGTTGTATAAGAAATAAATGAAAAAAAATGAATAAACAAGTCAACTAAAACATAACTCACCACTCAGCTGAGCGTTGCTGCCTGTAGGAGAGACAAAGAAACAAGACAATACATTACTCAGTTTAGTTTCGACAAGTGTGTTTCTTTGAGTTCTTTGAAAAAACTAAACGGACTGGTTGCCTCTTTGTTCCTGGTGCGGGTAGGCATTGTTCCTAGCTTTGAATTTCTATGGCTCAACCTCTATTACGTCATAGATGATTGCTGAGATACTTTAACTTTAAGAAGATAAATAGGCTACTTGTGTCCTTTTACTTTGGCATCATTAGCAGATAACATGTGTGAACTTTTACAGTTTACTTTAACAACACCTTCACCAGATATCACAAGTTTGGAAGTTTAATGTAGCAGTATCACATTTATTGATTCCTCTTTAAAAAATAGTTTGTTATTTTTTAAGTTTGTCGTCACACATGAAGTTGTATTTGTGTAGGCCTTTTTTTTCAGACAGTGTTTGAGATTAAGTCTAAAAATTAAGGCATTTCTTAGTAAAGAGTGCAACTGAGGTCTTTAGTGTATGTAAATATTGATGTGTATGGTGAGTGGAGGTGGGGCTTGAAATATTTTTAAATTTGCCAAAAGGAGGGCTCATCAGAAAAAGTTTGGAACCACTGCTTTAAGCTAAATTCAACTAAATTAAGCTGAGCTATTAAGATACTTACTGTTTCTTTACATCTATATGGTACAGGCATGTGTGTCGATTTATTATCTGACGATGGCAAGAACATGGATCAGCGTCTTACCCAACTACAGAACTGCAACAGGCATTAAAGTATCAACTTTTTAAAATTCTCTACACAGTCAACATTGATGTTTAACGTGTTGTATAGTATGTACCTCAACATCTTTGGTTAAGAAATACTTTATCTGAGTCAAAGTTCTAATACTGAAATATAAAAACACACCATTACAAGTAAAGAAAAAGCACATTTAGATTATCGGGAAGATAAGGCTGAATCATCGAGAGCAAAATCAAAAATATAAATAAAAATGATTGTATCATTATGTCATGTTAATGAGTCATTGTTATCCTTTTGTTTTAAAAAGCATTGAACCGTCTTTCGTGACCTGAGATTGAGCTGACTATTTCACCTACTTAAGTTTACCTACTAAATATAAATATTGATTCATATCTGACAAATCATTGGGTTGATTTTGTAACTATGTAACCCTTTAATGAAATTAAAAGACTTAACTTAATGATCTTTTAATAATAGACTGAAGTCAACCTTGCATTATGTTCTCTGACTCAACAGGACTTTTAGAGTCAAACTGGCTGTTCTGGATTTTCATGTAGTGTGACGACTCCTTCAGGCATGACTGTTGATACCAACTTGGTCTATTCTTTCCTTTTGCCTGGTATACCTCAACTTTAGCCAAATGGAGTATTTTGTCTGACGTTAAAAGGAAAAAAATGTCCTTATGGCCTTTCATTATTCATTATAATACTTAAGACTGTCAATAGACACATAACCATACATCCTGATATGTATATGAGTGTAATTAATCACTGAAATCAAAAATAGAGAAATAGAGCGATGATATTATCAATACTTTAAACAGTTCTGATACAATATTTAATAGCACTAACCTGTTACTGTTAAGGCCACAAGCACGACACCAAAAACAAATAGCTTGATCTCCATGGTTCAATTCTTCAAACTGAGTCTGAGGATAACGGAAGGAGCAGAACAACCCTCATAGGGAGGCGTGACTTTGCACTGTCAGTGCCTAGTGCTGTTGTCATGATCTGTTTGGGGTAACACCTTGCATACCAAACACATGCCGTTTTTTACAGACAGCTACAAGCAGGGCCGGATGCAGGCAGTTCAGGGTCCAAGGTATCACACCTGATTTGATGTTGACTTAAAGGTCACATATTATACTCTGTTTTAAAAAGTTTAAGTAAGTCGAAGTTCATTCCACCACTGGGGGGGGGGGGGGGTGACAGAGGAGAAGAGTCTAGTTAGCATCTTAGGACACTGTTGTGAAGGTTGGATCAGACGCCTTTCATTGGCAGAGCAAAGTGGACGGCAGGGAGTGTAGACCTGGCATATAGAGTTTAGGTAAGGAGGAGCCGTTTAAGTCGCTGTTATGTAGTAAGCAGCATGGCATATGTAAATATCTCTCTTTGTGACTGTAATAATGACTGTTTACAGTTCTTAAGGTGGACTCAGAGGTCAGAACAAACACCTAGCTGGGTTAAAAACAGGCTAGGGAAACATATTAGTGAACATATTAGTAAGAAAAAAATGGTAAAGTGTATTTTGCATGAACTGTGACCTTTAAATATAAACCACGGAAATTGTACAGGTTGTCTTTCTGTGATTACTGTTTGTTTGTTCTTGCAAAGAATGACATAGAAAGACTAACATTTGCTTAACTAAAGGTAAATGCCATACACAGTAACCACAATGTATAATAAAAAACCTGTTAAATGTCAACGTAAAGGAGGCTGAAAGGAGGATTCTTAGTTAAACACAACAACAACTGTATCTGGCATCAAAGAAAAAATATATACAGAACAGATGTGACTTTGACCTATAAGTTTTATTCCCTTCTTAAAAAAAAGTGTTAGAAATGAAAAACCCTGATTCATTAAAAAGTAGGCTACTTAAACCTCTTCTCTGTTCTCTCTTGTTCTGCCCATCACAATCTGTTTCTTCTTCATTCTACAGGAGGTTGGCACCACCTACTGGCCAACCAGCATTAATAAGCCTACCGTGTAGCCTATAGACTGAGTTTCTAACATCCCGAATACACAAATCAAGGCACATATTCCTTAAATTACTTGCATAAAAATGTGTTTCAATCAACATGTTTATGTTAAAATTCTGCTTTGCTTCAGTATTTCAGGCTTTTGGTAAAACTGTATCTTAATAGCCTACATAAAATTGATTTAAATGTTTCACTGCCAAAATACAGAAGTCCTTAGTGGACACACATCCATATTTGTTATTTAACTACATTTCTGTTGTTTTCTCAAGATCTCTAATGCAATCTTAAGTGTGCAAATTTAATCTGCCCATTCAACTTTGAATTTCTGAAGTAAAGAAGAAGGAAGATAGGATACTTCAAATCCTCCACTTGTCTGAAGTTGAGGTACAGCCTATGGGTACAGCTGGCAAAAGGAAAGAATAGACCATTTCGGTGTCAGTAGTCACGCCTGAAGGAGTCGTCGCTCGACATGAAAATCAAGATCAGTTTGACAGTCAGTGTGTTTAGTGTTAGTGTGTTTTTGTGACGCGTGTGTATGAGTATTCAATATTTCTACATGTGTTCAAAGAGTCTGTTCTGGTTGTCGCTGAGCGCGCACAGAACGAGCGAGAAATATGTAGAAACTTCTGGCACAAGCTTCCGAGTGACGTCATCACGCCGAGCTTCTTTTTTATTGGACGACGACGTCAGGGAAAGCTCGAGAAATGACCAGAAGGGAGCGAGCAGCGTATAAAATAACGAAGACGGCTGGTAGTAACCATGACTACGAAGAACCTGGACGAGGGAATCGCGACAGCACAAGATAGAACAACTCTTTTCCCTCTGCTGTCTTCTTTTAGCAAGGGTAAGTACGCTTTGTATATATTTATTTTTTTATTTTTTTACTAAAGTTTAATGCGATATCAAATTGTCTATTGGTTTGATGATATAAAGTCGTCGTTTATTGCTATTCCGGTTCTATCAACTTTTAAAGACCAACTGTCAGTTTCACTGTCAAACAGACTGTTTTAATATTAATGGAGTTTAACTTTACGAAACGTGTTTTTAGACTTAAAAATAAAAAAATAAAAAAGTTTTGCAGTTCATTAAACGGGCATATTTAAAGTATTACAAATGAAATTCCCTTTTGAAATAATTCTTCATTTGGTAGGAAGACAAATGCACCTTTTTAAGAATATTACCTTACTTTTTAATCTTATTAATTCAATTAAAAAAGCTAAATGAATTATTTACTTGTTAATTGGAAGATTTCTTTTCACGACCATGTATATTACCTACCATTGAAGGCTTGTCACTTGATATTAATGTGGCTGTAAATTGCGTGGATGGTAGTTTCTGTATATTATTGCCAAGTGTATGATTGGGAAGCTGTAAGAAAATATATGCGATTGATATAAACTTTATTTACGATGTTTTTGTCTGTGTTTTTGTTTCTGCATTTATAGGAAATAGAAAACAATCAAGATGTCACCAGCTAAGGGTGTAGCAATCGGCATTGACCTGGGCACCACCTACTCTTGTGTGGGGATTTTCCAGCATGGAAAAGTGGAAATTATCGCCAACGACCAGGGTAACAGGACACCCCAGTTATGTAGCATTCACTGACACAGAGAGGCTCATTGGGGATGCAGCCAAGAACAGGTGGCTCTGAACCCAGCAACACTGTGTTTGATGCAAAGAGACTGATTGGAAGAAAGATGGATGATCCAGTGGTGCAGGCTGACATGAAGCACTGGCCCTTCAATGTGGTCGGAGATGGAGGGAGGCCCAAATTCAAGTGGAGTACAAAGGTGAGAACAAATCCTTCTACCCTGAGGAGGTTTCCTCCATGGTCCTGGTGAAGATGAAGGAGATTGCTGAGGCCTATCTCGGTCAAAAGGTGTCCAACGCAGTCATCACAGTCCCGGCGTACTTCAACGACTCTCAGCGGCAGGCAACTAAAGATGCAGGCGTCATCGCAGGACTGAATGTCCTGAGGATCATCAACGAGCCCACAGCAGCTGCCATCGCGTACGGTTTGGACAAAGGCAAATCAGGAGAACATAACGTCCTAATCTTTGACCTAGGTGGAGGAACCTTTGATGTGTCCATCCTGACTATTGAAGATGGTATCTTTGAGGTAAAATCCACAGCTGGAGACACTCACCTGGGTGGAGAGGACTTTGACAACCGCATGGTTAACCACTTTGTGGAGGAGTTCAAGAGGAAACACAAGAAGGATATTAGCCAGAACAAGAGAGCCTTGAGGAGGCTGCGCACAGCTTGTGAGAGGGCCAAGAGAACCCTGTCGTCCAGCTCCCAGGCCAGCATCGAGATTGATTCTCTGTTCGAGGGCATTGACTTTTACACCTCCATCACCAGAGCTCGCTTTGAGGAGCTGTGCACCGACCTGTTCAGGGGAACACTGGAGCCGGTGGAGAAAGCCCTGAGGGACGCCAAAATGGACAAGGCACAGATCCAGGACATCGTCCTGGTGGGAGGCTCCACCCGAATCCCCAAAATCCAGAAACTGCTGCAGGACTTCTTTAATGGCAGGGAACTGAACAAGAGCATCAACCCAGATGAGGCAGTGGCTTACGGTGCAGCTGTCCAGGCCGCCATTCTCACTGGTGACAACTCTGGGAATGTCCAGGACCTTCTGCTGCTGGACGTGGCGCCTCTGTCCCTGGGTATAGAGACAGCTGGAGGAGTCATGACATCCCTGATAAAACGCAACACCAAAATCCCCACTAAACAAACCCAGGTGTTCAGCACCTACTCCGACAACCAGCCTGGTGTTCTCATCCAGGTCTATGAAGGGGAAAGAGCCATGACCAAGGACAACAACCTGCTGGGCAGGTTTGAGCTGACAGGAATCCCTCCTGCTCCAAGAGGAGTCCCACAGATCGAGGTCACCTTCGACGTGGACGCCAATGGTATTTTGAATGTCTCCGCAGTGGACAAAAGCACCGGCAAAGAGAACAGGATCACCATCAACAACGATAAGGGCCGTCTTAGCAAAGAGGAGATCGAAAGGATGGTGCAGGATGCCGACAAATACAAAGCTGAGGACGAACTTCAGAGGGAGAAAATTGTTGCCAAGAACTCACTGGAGTCCTATGCCTTCAACGTGAAGAGCAGTGTGCAGGACGAGAACCTGAAGGGAAAAATTAGTGAAGAGGAGCAGAAGAAGCTGATTGAGAAGTGCGATGAGACCATCACATGGCTTGAGAACAACCAGCTGGCTGATAAGGAGGAGTACCAACACCAGCAGAAAGAGCTGGAGAAAGTGTGTAACCCTATCATCAGCAGGTTGTATCAGGGAGGAATGCCTGCAAGCAGCTGTAGAGAGGAGGCTGGATCCGCAGCCCAGGGGCCCACCATTGAGGAGGTGGACTAAAGTGTCCTTTGATATGGACTCTTTGATCTCACTAACTGTTTCAAAAAATACAACTGTAACTTAATGGCTATGTTCCAAACTTGGCCCTTTTTAAATGTGATGAATAGGATGCAGTGTTCCTAAATGTTTACAATCTTCCATGTTAATGTAATCTCCTTTTTTGTTATAAATATTTTTTTTAAATCCAACTTTAACTCTATCTTCTGTAGAGATATATTTTATCGTTATTGTAAAAACAAAATGATGCATAAATTGTAAGAATCCTTAAATGTTAATGTATCTTTTGTCTCTGCCATGTTAGATTTTAAATAAAAAAATCTAAAATAAGATTTTTCATTCTGGTGATTTGATTATTGTTGCAATTAATCAAGTTATAAATACTAATGTATCCAAAATGTAAAGAATACAGTAATGTTTGTATTTAATGATGGTTCTATATACTACATAAAGCTTTAATTCAAAGCTGCAAAATGTTCAATGTTCAAATGTTCACGTAAAGACATTCAAACTTGTATATTTTTATGTTAAATATGCAGTCTGTATCTTAAGAAGTGTATGAACAATATATCTCTTCTAATCAAC